GCCACATTGTGTTCTGACTTTGAAGCTGATTGGTGAGTGGTGGTCATTGCCTTCCTCCTTTTCATCTAGGCCCCTCCCCGCCTGTCACAAACCTCATACACTCCTGGCTGCACTCGGTCCATGGGCCACGTGCTCAGTGTTCCGCTCCCTCCACTCTACCCACCCCTTCTCTCTCTGCTTAGGTTTGGCTGTTGACTACTTTGACGGAGGGAAAGTTCAGGTAAGTACCTATTCCTCTGCAGAGAGTTTAAGGATTTAACCAGAGGGAAGGAAAAGGCTGTTGTTACCAAAAGACTGGACCCAAATATCAGGGCAGAGCCTCATTCCCCAGCCTGTGTGATCTCCGTTTCAGACAATACTGAGCAAGGATCAACAAACCTAATTAGCCCAAGATCCAGCTCTTACACAAAGTCCAGAGATCAATGCCAGCGAGGCATTTGCTAAAGCAGTAACAGCCAGCTATTATTAAGCTAACCCCACACAGACTCATTTCCACAAGAAACAACTATTTTTCATCCCCCAAAGAAAAGGCTATTTTAAGAACCCCAGTCAGTGGGGCCCAAGGGTGGGGAACACTCAAACTGGCTCCTGGGGGGAGATTCGAGGCCATCCTGAACCATTCATTCTCTTCTTGGCATAGAATTCCTTGTCCTCTGAGCAACAGAAATATGCCATACGGGGTGTCCCTTCCCTGCTGGAAGTTGCTGGTTTCTCCTACTTCTATGGGGCCTTCTTGGTAGGGCCCCAGTTCTCAATGAACCACTACATGAAGCTGGTGCAGGGAGAGCTGACTGACATACCAGGAAAAATACCAAACAGGTAATTGCCCCTCTTGGTCAAGACCTCTGTGTAGGTGTCTCACCCAGTAGTTACCCTGAAGTGACTTTTCTGAAGGCCAGCCCTGGCTGCATTCTCCAGCATGGTCCTTGCACAGAGACCTGTGTCACACGGGCCCTGGACTGTTGTGACGGGCACTCTACTTGCTCACTGCTGGGAGTGGGCCCTGCACAGCTTGAGTTACTTCCAGCCAGCCATTCTGACCCTGTAGCACAAACATAAAAATGCACTTTTGTGCCTGAAACAGTCACATCCCTGCCTTTAAAGCCCTTTATCTCACTTAAAAAAATTCTTTTTGTTAAATATATAAAAATATATATCAATAGAAAATTTAAAAGTTGCCAAAAGAATTCCTTCACTGTGAACTTGTCCAGCTGTGTCTCAACATCAATTCAACGAAGGTAGCAAGCAGATTCACATTAGTTATCTCCAGTGGGTTTTCAGTTCCCTTTGGAGACTGAGAACCTGGTGACACCTCAAGATCAGCAGCAGCCCTGTGGGGTGAACACCACGAGACTCACCCACAAGCTCCCTCCCTGTCCCGACCTTCCCACAGCTCTCAGGGGCTTGCAGGCCCCATTCCACATAGACATGGAGAAGTCTTCCCCTGGCCCATGTAGACTTTGGCCAGCAGAGCTCCTCGTCCCATTCCAGGTGGATAACCACACCCCGAAACACTCCTCCGTAGCTGAAGGTCAGAGGGTGACGGGAATGGATTCTGCCCTCTGTGACTCCACTTCTTCCTTTCTCCAGCACCCTACCTGCTCTCAAGCGCCTGAGTCTGGGCCTTGTCTACCTGGTGGGCTACACTCTGCTCAGCCCCCACATCACAGAAGACTATCTCCTCACTGAAGACTATGAAGTGAGTGGTTACTAATGCAGCCGAAGTCTGACTGCACCAGAGCTAGAAAACGCACAGGCAAGGATCCCTGTAGATAGCAGAGAAGTAGGTAATGCCACCTACAAATGCGTGTTGGTTTTGCTCTAGATCTGTGAGAGTTGGTGTCAATGCCAGCCGGGCCGGGCCACGCTCATCAGCCAGCACTGAACGACCTTCGTGGGCACAGGGCTGTGCCAGGTGCACTTTTAGCACCCCTTGCCTTCCCCGGGAGCAGCTCTTAGCTTGCTTATTACATCCAGATAGTCCTCGGAGCGCAGCAGCTTCCCATTCTCCAGCTTGTTTTCTTCTCTTGACTGGTAGATTTGGTGCTTCTAGGTAATTCAGAAACCAAGGGAAGGGGAAGTGCTGGCCTTTGCTCCAGCCCAGCTGAAAGGCTTGAAACAGTTCCGTAACCATCCTGGGTAGGTTCCTCTGCTTAAATTAACATTAAACATGGATATGCCAAGTCCCGCTACATAGCGTTTCAAATGCTCGGTGCCTTGGGAGTAGAGGTCAATGATAGAAGAGTTAAGGACAGTGCTGTCCCTGGGACTCTCCCAGGAAAAGGCGGTAACAGGTGTTCACTGGGCCGCCTGCTTATTCCCCCAGCCTCTGTGAAGGCAGTCAGGCCAGACTGTCAGGGGACATCTGGCAGCAGGACTTAGAGGGACAAAGTAGCTGGCCACACGTGTGAAGTGCTGAGACAAACTGCCTTGCCTGCGCCACGTCCCTAACGCACGTGTGTTCTTTCTTCTCTCAAGAACCGCGCTTTCTGGTTCCGCTGCATGTACATGCTGGTCTGGGGCAAGTTTGTGCTGTACAAATACGTCACCTGTTGGCTAGTTACAGTAAGTAGAAGAGATGAAACAGAGTCCTACTGAGACACACCTTAGGTACCCGTGGCGGAGGAGGGTGGCGGTGGGAGCCCTAATGAGCTGTTCTCTCCGTCAGGAAGGAGTATGCATTTTGACCGGGCTGGGCTTCAATGGCTTTGAAGGGGGCAAAGCAAAGTGGGATGCCTGTGCCAACATGAAGGTGTGGCTCTTTGAAACAACCCCCCGATTCACCGGCACCATCGCCTCTTTCAACATCAACACCAATGCCTGGGTGGCCCGGTAAGCCACTGGAGGGGAGGCCTGGACCCTGGACCTTCCACTGCTTTCCCCAGATGAGGCAGGCAGGGATGTATCGTGTCACCTCCATCAATCTTTCCCACATGGGTAGAACCTGCAGTCACTCTCACATACAGAGCTTTGTCCCCACCCCCACCCCAAAAAACTATTCCTGTCAAATTAGGAAAACAAAAGCAAAATATAAAAGTGCCTTGATGCTGGGCATGGATGCACACACCTGGAGTCCCAGCTACTCAGGAGGCTGAAGTGGGAGGATGGTGTGAGCCTAGGAGTTCAAGGCCAGCGTGGCAACATGGGGAAACCCATCTCAAAAAAATAAAAAAGTGCTTTGAGTCTTAGGTGTTAATCCCAGTTTTGCCACTGGTTTTATGTCCTCCATTGCCCTATTTATAAACATCTTCGTTTACTTACTTTTGCCCACCTTTAGATCGTAAATAGCACAAGTAGGAAACAGTCTGCCCTGTTCACCACCTGACCTTCAGCGTCAGGCATTTAGTAGGCACTCGGTCATTACCTGCTGAACCAAGTGGCTTGGCCATGGTCTTCTGTCCCTAAACCAAGACTGCCTTCCATCTCTAAAACTAATCAATTAGTGCTGCCTCCCATGCCCCCGGGGCTACAGGTAGAAGCCAGCTACCATCCATTCCTCAGGACATGAGAACCACACAAGACGGTGGCATGGTGGGCCCCAGACACTAGTCCATCTGAGGCTCATCCTTACCCTTTTCTCTAGTTACTTCTACAAACGACTCAAGTTCCTTGGAAATAAAGAATTATCCCAGGGTCTCTCATTGCTATTCCTGGCCATCTGGCACGGCCTGCACTCAGGATACCTGGTCTGCTTCCAAATGGAATTCCTCATTGTTATCGTGGAAAGACAGGTAGGCCTCAAGGGTGTGGATGAAAGGGGAATGAGAGACAGGACACTGGTGACCTCTCTCCTTCCTTCCTCCCCAGGCTGCCAAGCTAATACGAGAGAGCCCAGCCCTGAGCAACTTGGCCTCCATTAGGGTCCTACGACCTTTCTTCTATTTGGTGCAACAGACCATCCACTGGCTCTTTATGGGTTACTCAATGACTGCCTTCTGCCTCTTCACGTGGGATAAATGGCTTAAGGTAAGTGAAGGGCTGCTTGCGAGGTCGGAAAAGAATCGCTGCACCCTTGAGCAGCAAGGGATTCTCAATACCTTACATCTATCTCAGTGGCCTCTCTTTCCCGGCACAGGTGTATAAATCCATCTATTTTCTTGGCCACGTCTTCTTCTTGAGCCTTCTATTCATACTGCCTTATATTCACAAAGCAATGGTGCCAAGGAAAGAGAAGTTAAAGAAAATAGAATAATCTATTTCTCTGGTAAGTAAATGTCCTACAGCTACGCTAAAACTATCAGGTTAGGAAATAGAGCAACAGACTGGGGAAAAGGTAGTATTGGAAACTGGGGTGAATGTCAAGGTAGCCTGGCTACTCTGACTGAGGCACACTAGGAAGAAGCTGGAAGGGCCACAGGCCAGGGACTAGGAGTAACTACCAAGCCTTCCAACCAGATGTCTTGTCTTACAGGTGGCCTACAGCAGGACTGGTGCAGAAACTACTTGTCTCCCTTTTCACAACACTCCCTTGCCCCAGAGCACAGAGAACAGAAAGGCCAGGGAGTTGGAAGACGGCACTCCCAGCTGTGCCTCTGCTGCCAGCCAAGTCTTCATTGGGGCCAAAGGGGAAAACTCTTGTGGGAGGAGCAGAGGGGCCCACGTCTCCCGGGCTCCCCCATGCACGTTGCCTTATCTCTCCCCCTCCAGCCAGGAATCTGTTGTGTTTTTCTTCTGCCAATTTACGATGATTGTATAAGTGCCGCTACCGCCACCCCCCCATGGGGGGAGGGAACGGGTGCAAGGCCCGCCTGCTCCACTTTTTCTACCTTGGAACTGTACCAGATAAAATCACTTCTGTTGTTCAGTTTTTCACCACTAGCATTCCTGACTGCTTTCTTTTGACACAGTTCTCCACACATGCCATGGCTCAAATAACCAGGGGTCTCTTCTTTAGAGCACAGGAACCTAGGAGATCTGGAGCTAAAGCCTAGAATCAAACTGTTAACTCTGTAACCTCACATCAGCCCCTGAAATCTAAGCAGAACAAGCAGTTCACACTATTAGATCCTGCTAAGTTTAGGAACCCTGAAACACCCCGGTTTGTAAGAATGGTATTTATAGGGACACAGATAGCAAGTGTACAGCCTTTGCTTCCCCAGCCTCCAGTCTCAGTTCAGGAAGCTCAACTTCCAGTGGTCGGCTCAGAATAGGGCCAAGGGACACCACGTCAACAGTCTTTGGTTTCAGAGTAAGGCTCTACTGCTGTCAAAGAACCCCCCACACTTCTTCAAAGGCTGTGGTAAGTTTTGCACAAGTAAGGGCAGCAGAAAGCGGGTAGTTGCTGATGGACACCATCTTTTCTGTATACTCCACAGTGACCTAAGGAAAGGAAAGTTGTTAGCTGAACACTGTCACTCTGTAGCAGGTTCAACCCTTCTTTAGGGGAAGGAAACCTACAGCTGAGCTAATATTTCAACAGTACTATTTAATACCAAATTTCTACAAAGGATGAAGAAAGTTCTAACTGTGACTATTACAAATATGGCAGCAGTCCTCAAAGGATGTGCCCTGGGGCAGGGTGTGAAACCGGCATTTGTCTTCTAGCTCTGTTCATACCCTTGGTTTCCCAACTTGTGAGGACAACATGCTAACAGCCCCGGGAATGCTGCACTAGAATTCAGCTCTATGGAGAATGGAAGGGCTAAGCCCAAACCTTACCTTGCCATGGGCAAAAGCCCCCACCACGAAAACAACAGGATCACTGCTGGGCACCAACTCTCGCACGTCGCTAATGACTGGGATGGAGAAAGAAGTGCCAATTTTCATACATCCAACTGGGAAGTGATCTGACACTGGATTCTTAATTACCTAAATTTAAGAAAAGAAAAATCAGCCCCAGAAATATCTCCAGAACCCTACCTTCAACCAGTGGGTTTCAATACCTCACCTTCAAGAGCTTCTGGGGGCCATCAGCTGCTCGAACACTAAGTTGTGTAAAAGCTGAACTAGGAGGGGGAAAAAAAAGAGTTCAGAGCTAGGTGAGGCCACACTCTTTCGGCCTAGTAATCTAACCAGGAAACCCACAGGTAGAATGGATTCCACACGTCTTTTATAGCCAGAATGGACTCCTGAAATGTTATGAACACAGTCGTCAAGCATATGACTAACAGTACAGTGAAGGGTTCATTCTCCCTTTTACACCCAGCCAGGAACCCACTGCAGCAACAGGATAGTGCTGCTTCCATGCACATGCGTCTGCTATCAATCATGTTCCTCCCTCCCCTCACTTAAAAGTTCCACCTTTAATTCTCCCTTTGCTCTTCCTCCCTTCTTCACTATTGCCAAGTTTGTGGTGAACTAACACTTCTCACCCATGAGGCCACAAAAGCGGTCAAAGGTTCTGGGAATTCGAGTCTGGGGTTCACTTCAATCAGAACATTCTTCTGTGTGTGGATGTAAACCTGCAGAAGCCAGCTCGGTTCAGAGGACTGTCCATCAGCATCAGTAAACTCTGAGGAAGGCAGAAACCAAGACACAGTTAAGGCTGAAGAAAAGCAGCACTCGACCGTCTTACCTTCCACACAGAGCTCTGTCCTTGGAGTTACCTGGTGGGCTATGTCTGGTCTCACTTCCCCAGGGTCACGTCCATTCTTCAACAACATAGACTTGTGCTTGTCACAGTTAAGTAGCTCATATGTCTTCCCTACCTAAAGGACAGGGACACAGTGAAACAGCAATGTAAGCTTCTATTACCTAGCCTGTGGTTCTCAAAATGTGGTTCCCAAGCCAGCAGCAGCATCACCATCTAGAAGCTTGTTAGGCAAGTTCTCAGGCCACTCTAGACCTACTAAACAGATGCTCTGGGGTGGGGCCCAGCAAGCCCTTCATGGGATTACTAGAAGGCCATATTTGCACCCTCAAGTAACTAATCTTAGAGGAAAAGGAGGAAGGGCACACCTGTGATTTCACATTATCTATCCTGGACTTAAGTTTAAAACCTGAGGCTATCGAGCAAGGCCAATGAGAGATTTTTGGAACCAGGCAGGAGTTAGGTTAGTAAGGATGAATGCTTGTGTTTGTCACAGGAGTAATATGTATGTACTGAGCAATATCATACATAGACACTATAACAAAACAAACATGCACTAAGGAAGAGCTGTCAATCTGAACAGGAATAAGTGTGAAAATTCTAATGATCGCAGGAGATAGTTTAACCAAGGATACTTCTCTTTGAGTAAACTAAGAGGTTACTCCCAGTTTAACCCTGGGCATGAGCAAAGGTATGAACAGAATCAGGAAAAAGACAGGGAGAAGGCTGGGCGCAGTGCTCACGCCTGTAACCTAGCACTCTGGGACGCGAGGTGGGCGGATTGCTGAAGGTTAGGAGTTCAAAACCAGCCTGAGCAAGACCCGTCTCTACCATAAAAATAGAAGAATTATGGCCAACTAATAATATATAATTATATATATATATATAATTAATATAATAAATCAGCCGGCATGGTGGCTCGTGCCTGTAGTCCCAGCTACTCGGGAGGCCGAGGCAGGAGGATCACTTGAGCCCAGGAGTTTGAGGTTGCTGTGAGCTAGGCTGACGCCACGGCACTCACTCTAGCCTAGGCAAGAAAGCGAGACTCTGTCTCAAAAAAAAAAAAAGACACGGAGAAAGGGAATTTTGGAGAAAAGTGGAAAATGAGATACTGAAGGGCAGTGATTACACATCAAACTGCTTTGTAAACTACAGAACGTGTCAAGCACAGGCAGAAATTATTCTGGAGTAAGAGGGACAGAATGAGAATGCCTCATAAATACTCTCCTGGCAACTCTGTGTATACCAGAAAAGGTACTAGAAGTTTGGTATAAAGAACTGGACTACATCTGTAGCAGCTAAAAAAAATAATTTCAAGTTGCAATTTAGAGTCCTAAAGAGCAGTAGGGTGGTCAGTTAAAAGTCTGAAAACAGGCCGGGCGCTGTGGCTCACGCCTGTAATCCTAGCTCTTGGGGGCCGAGCGGGCGATTGCTCAAGTGTCAGAGTTCAAAACCAGCCTGAGCAAGAGCGAGACCCCGTCCTCTACTATAAATGAAAGATATAATGGCCAACTGATATATATATAAAAAAATTAGCCGGGTGTGGTGGCGCATGCCTGTAGTCCAGCTGCTCGGAGGCTGAGCAGCAGGATTGCTTGAGCCAGGAGTTTGAGGTTGCTGTGAGCTAGGCTGACGCCACGGCACTCACTCTAGCCTGGACACAAAGTGAGACCTCTGTCCCAAAAAAAAAAAAAAAAAAAAGTCTGAAAACATTGTTAAGTATAAATACAGGTTTTGAAAAGCTATGATTTTATATGTGTCACCAGAACATTTGTATATGTCTAGCAACATCTGGAGATATATGGCTCTAAGGGGAGAGGTATATAGATTTTGAAATTAATTGTAGTTGAAATAACAATAATGTCAGAGAGTAAACACAAAGAATAAAGGACAGAGAGCTAAGTCCATGGGACACCCTTAGTTATAGAAGGAAAAGAACCCTTTGAATAGAATAACCCAGTTTCAACCCATTAGTAGGATATAACCAGGGTTTTTGTTCTTTTAATGAAACACAATAGAAAACATCAGATTTGTATATAGTAATGGTAAGTAATTGTTTATGAACTTTTGGTTTTATATAGTTGAATGTGTATACTGGCTCACAATGTAACCTTTTTGTTGTGGGTCGTGATTAATAAGCTTGCAAACCATAAACTAGAATAATCAGAGAATGAATACTATGTGTCATGACTATAAAAGGTATTGAACATAAATAGGAAAGAATTTTTAAAACCTTATTCTCTAGCCGGGCGCGGTGGCTCACGCCTGTAATCCTAGCACTCTGGGAGGCTGAGGCGGGCGGATTGCTCGAGGTCAGGAGTTCGAAACCAGCCTGAGCAAGAGCAAGACCCCGTCTCTACTATAAATAGAAAGAAATTAATTGGCCAACTAATATATATATATATAAAAATTAGCCGGGCATGGTGGCGCATGCCTGTAGTCCCAGCTACTCGGGAGGCTGAGGCAGAAGGATTGCTTGAGCCCAGGAGTTTGAGGTTGCTGTGAGCTAGGCTGACGCCACGGCACTCACTCTAGCCTGGGCAACAAGCGAGACTCTGCCTCAAAAAAAAAAAAAAAAAAAAACACCTTATTCTCTGTTCTCACAGAGACAAACAGTAAACATATACATGAATACTTAAATCAAATTATAATCAACAAGGAAGAAAAGTAAATGGTTCAATAAAGGATTATGTCCAAGGCTGGGCATAGTGGCTCAAACCTGTAATCCTAACAATTTGAGAGGCTGAGGCAGGAAGATTACTTGAGGCCAGGAGTTCAAGACCAGCCTGGGCAACATAAGAGACCTCATCTCTACAAAAAATTTTTAAAAATTAGCTAGGCGTGGTGGCGTACCCATGTAATACTAGCTACTCAGGGGGCTGAGGCAGGAGAATCACGCAAGCTCAGGAGTTCAAGGCTACAGTGAGCTATAATCAAGCCACTGCACTCCAGCCTGGGTGACAGTGAGACCCCACCTCGCTTAGAAAGAAAAAAAAAGGATTATAACAACAGGACCTAATTTGTACCCAGGGAGTCATTCCTCTGACAAAGTAACATTTAACCTAATAATTAAAGAATGAGCGGCCTGATTAAAAACTCAATAATTATTAAATGCTGACAGAAGCAAAAGGTGCCAGTACAAGGAAGACAAAAGATAATAGTATAGTCCAATAAAGATTTCAACTATGACAAGGGGTCTAGTCATCATTTGTAGCATATGTATCTTGCTCTATAAATCTATGTCTTGCTCTTGCTATATAATTCTATCTTGCTCCCCCTCAATAAATTTCACCTTGTGCTTGCCTTAAAACAAGAAAATTTCAACCATTTATGAATACTTCTATAGCTACTGAAGTACCATTGATGACACATTTGGCCTAAATTTTTTTTTTTTGGAGACAGAGTCTCACTCTGTTGCCCCGTTCCTACCATAAAAAATAGAAAGAATTAATTGCCAACTAATATATTATACTATCACCCATAGATATATATATACTACGTATATTATTTTGTGATTGGTGATGGTAGGTGTGGTTTGGTGACTCACCAAAATCAGCCGGCATAGGTGGCTCGTGCTTGTCAGTCCCAGCATACTCGGGAAGGACACGAGGCAGGAGGTCACTTTGGAGCCCACGGAGTTTGAGGGTTGCTGAGCTAGGCCTGACGCCACGGCAACTCACTCCTAGCCTAGGCAAGAAAGCGAGACTCTGTCTCCAAAAAAAAAAAAGACACGGAGAAAGGAAATTTTGGAGAAAGTGGAAAATGAGATACCTGAACTGGCCAGTGATTTACACTCAACACTGCTTTGTAAACTACAGAGAACTGGTCAAGGCACAGGCGAAAATTCTGACGTAAGAGGGACAGAAGGTGAGAATGCCTCATAAATATCTCTCTGGCAACTCTGTGTATGAGCGCAGCAAACGGTACTGAAAAACGGTTTGATATAAGAACTGGACACATCTGTGCAGCTAAAAAAAATAATTTCAAGGTTGCACTTTTTTTTCATTTAGCCGCTCTCAAAGAGCAGTAGGGTGGTCAGTAAGAAGTGAAAACAGGCCCCCGGGCGTGTGGCTCACGCCTGTAATCCTAGTCTTGGGAGGCCGAGGCGGCGATTGCTCAAGGTCAGAGTTCAAAACGCAGCCTGGAGGCTAGAGCGAGACCGCAAAAAAGCATGAAAGCCGTGCCACAGGCCAGTACGTGAATTTGCCACGCAATTGCTCATACTATTCTAGACACCGACTCACGCCCGAGGTTGCTTCGCGTACCTCGACTACTTACTCCGTCTCTACTATAAATACAGAAGATTAATCTGGCCAACTGATATATATTAATAAAAAATTAGCCGGGCATGTGTGCGCATGCCTGTAGTCCCAGCTCTCGCGAGGCTGAGGCAGAGGATTGCTTGAGCCCAGGAGTTTGAGGTTGCTGTGAGCTAGCTGACGCCACGGCACTATCTAGCCTGGCAACAGAGTGAGACTCTGTCCCAAAAAAAACCATGGGCAAAAGCCCCCACCACGAAAACAACAGGATCACTGCTGGGCACCAACTCTCGCACGTCGCTAATGACTGGGATGGAGAAAGAAGTGCCAATTTTCATACATCCAACTGGGAAGTGATCTGACACTGGATTCTTAATTACCTAAATTTAAGAAAAGAAAAATCAGCCCCAGAAATATCTCCAGAACCCTACCTTCAACCAGTGGGTTTCAATACCTCACCTTCAAGAGCTTCTGGGGGCCATCAGCTGCTCGAACACTAAGTTTGTGTAAAAGCTGAACTAGGAGGGGGGAAAAAAAAAGAGTTCAGAGCTAGGTGAAGGCCACACTCTTTCGGCCTAGTAATCTAACCAGGAAAACCCACAGGTAAGATGGATTCCACACGTCTTTTATAGCCAGAATGGACTCCTGAAATGTTATGAACACAGTCGTCAAGCATATGACTAACAGTACAGTGAAGGGTTCATTCTCCCTTTTACACCCAGCCAGGAACCCACTGCAGCAACAGGATAGTGCTGCTTCCATGCACATGGGAAAGAATGGAGAAGAGGCTTGTCCTGCTATCAATCATGTTCCTCCCTCCCCTCACTTAAAAGTTCCACCTTTAATTCTCCCTTTGCTCTTCCTCCCTTCTTCACTATTGCCAAGTTTGTGGTGAACTAACACTTCTCACCCATGAGGCCACAAAAGCGGTCAAAGGTTCTGGGAATTCGAGTCTGGGGGTTCACTTCAATCAGAACATTCTTCTGTGTGTGGATGTAAACCTGCAGCAAGCCAGCTCGGTTCAGAGGACTGTCCATCAGCATCAGTAAACTCTGAGGAAGGCAGAAACCAAGACACAGTTAAGGCTGAAGAAAAGCAGCACTCGACCGTCTTACCTTCCACACAGAGCTCTGTCCTTGGAGTTACCTGGTGGGCTATGTCTGGTCTCACTTCCCCAGGGTCACGTCCATTCTTCAACAACATAGACTTGTGCTTGTCACAGTTAAGTAGCTCATATGTCTTCCCTACCTAAAGGACAGGGAACACAGTGAAACAGCAATGTAAGCTTCTATTACCTAGCCCTGTGGTTCTCAAAATGTGGTTCCCAAGCCAGCAGCAGCATCACCATCTAGAAGCTTGTTAGGCAAGTTCTCAGGCCCACTCTAGACCTACTAAACAGATGCTCTGGGGGTGGGGCCCAGCAAGCCCTTCATGGGATTACTAGAAGGCCATATTTGCACCCCTCAAGTAACTAATCTTAGAGGGAAAAGGAGGGAAGGGCACACCCTGTGATTTCACATTATCTATCCTGGACTTAAGTTTAAAACCTGAGGCTATCGAGCAAGGCCAATGAGAGATTTTTGGAACCAGGCAGGAGTTAGGTTAGTAAGGATGAATGCTTGTGTTTGTCACAGGAGTAATATGTATGTACTGAGCAAATATACATACATAGACACTATAACAAAACAAACATGCACTAAGGGAAGAGCTGTCAATCTGAACAGGAATAAGTGTGAAAATTCTAATGATGCAGGAGATAGTTTAACCAAGGAATACTTCTCTTTGAAGTAAAACTAAGAGGTTACTCCCAGTTTTAACCCTGGGCATGAGCAAAGGTATGAACAGAATCAGGAAAAAGACAGGGAGAAGGCTGGGCGCAGTGGCTCACGCCTGTAATCCTAGCACTCTGGGAGGCCGAGGTGGGCGGATTGCTGAAGGTTAGGAGTTCAAAACCAGCCTGAGCAAGACCCCGTTCTCTACCATATAAATAGAAAGAAATTAATTGGCCAACCAATATATATATATATACTATATATATAATCAGCCGGCACGGTGGCTCGTGCCTGTAGTCCCAGCTACTCGGGAGGCCGAGGCAGGAGGATCACTTGAGCCCAGGAGTTTGAGGTTGCTGTGAGCTAGCTGAACGCCACGGCACTCAACTCTAGCCTAGGCAAGAAAGCGAGACTCTGTCTCAAAAAAAAAGACACACGAGAGAAAGGGAATTTTGGAGAAAGTGGAAAATGAGATACTGAAGGGCAGTGATTACACTCAACTCGCTTTGTAAACTAACAGAAGCTGTTCAAGGCAACAGGCGAAAATTATTCTGGAGTAAGAGGAACAGAATGGAGAATGACCTCATAATACTCTCTGGGCAACTCTGTGTATACCAGCAAAGGTACTAAAGTTTGATATAGACTGGACTACATCTGAGCAGCTAAAAAAAATAATTTCAAGTTTGCATTTAGAGTCCTAAAGGCAGTAGGGTGGTCAGTAAAAAGTCTGAAAACATTGTTAAGTATAAATAACAGGTTTTTTTTGTTTGTTGTTGTTTTTTATCTTCTTCACCTCCCGAGATAAAATACAGGTTTTGAAAAGCTATGAATTTATATGTGTCACCAAACATTATTGTCTTAGCCAACATCTGGAGATATAGCTCAAGGGAGAGATATAGATTTTGAAATTAATTGTAGTGAAATAGCATAAATGTCAGAGAGTAAACAAAAGATAAAGGACAGAGCGGGAGCTAAGTCCATGGGACACCCTTAGTTATATAAGGAAAAGAAACCTTTGATAGAATCAACCATTTCAACCAATTAGTAGGATATAACCAGGGTTTTTGTTCTTTTAATGAACACAATGAAAACATCAATTTGTATATAAGGTAAGTAAGTAATTGTTTTTGAACTTTTGGTTTTCACTATAGTGAACTGTGTATACTGGCTCACCAATGTACTTTTTGTTGATGGCTCGTGATTAATAAGCTTGCAAAACCCATAAACAGAATAATCAAGATGAATACTATGTGTCCCATGACTATAAAGTATTCGAACATAAATAGGAAAGATATTTTAAAACTTAATTCTCTTCCAAAAACTTATTGTAAAAAAAAAAAAAAAAAAAAAAAAAAAACTTATTCTAGCGGGGCCGGTGGCTACAGCCTGTAATCTACGCACTCCTGGAGGCTGAGCGGCGGATTGCCTCGAGGTCAGAGTTCGAAGACAGCCTGAGCAGCAAGACTCCGTCTCTACCATAAATAGAAAGCAATAGATTGGCCAACTAATATATATATATAAAATTAGGCGGGCAATGGTGCGAGCCTGCTAGTCCCAGCTACTCGTTGAGGACTGAGGCAGAAGATTGCTCTAGAGCCCCAGCAGTTTAGAGGTTGCTCGTGAGCTATGGCTGCGCCACGGCACTCACTTCTAGCTGCGGCAACAAGCCTGAGACTGCTGCCCTAAAAAAAAAAAAAAAAAAACAAAAAAAAAACGCTTATTCTCTGTTCTCACAGAGACAAAAGTAAACAAAATACATGAAACTTAATCAAATTATAATCAACAAGAAGAAAACGCTAATGTTCATAAAGGATTATGTCAAGGCTGGGCATAGTGCTCAAACCTGTAATCCTAACAATTCAGAGCTGAGCAGGAAGTTTACTTGAGCCAAGGTTCAAGACCAGCCTGGCAACATAAGGAGACCTCATCTCACACAAAAATTTTAAAATTAGGCAGGCGTGGGCAGAGTCTAGTAAATATGATACGGGATGGGCAGATCAAGCAACCGGGAGATCAAAGCTACAGAGAGCTAATAATCAGCCACTGCACTCCCTGGGACATGACCCACTCTCTTAGAAAGAAAAAAAAGGATTAAAAAAGACTAATTTGAACCAGGGATCATATCCTACTGAAAAGATAACAATTTAAATATAACTTAAGAATAGAGCGGCCATGATTAATCAATATATGATCAGACAGCAAGGATCATAGACGAAATATATAGTCTTTCACATGACAGGGTCTAGTCATATTGTAGCATAGCATAAATTAATACATATTCTTCATTCTAATCAATATGCCCACCATACATAAATATATACCTTGTGCTTGCCTTAAAACAAGAATTTCAACCATTTATGAATACTTCTATAGCTTACTGAGTATCATTGATGACAAATTTGGCTAAATTTTTTTTTTTTTTGAGACCCAGAGTCTCACCTTTGCTCCCAGCTGAATGCCATGGCATCAGCCTAGCTCCACAGCAACCTCCAAAACTCTGGGCTCTAAGCAATCTTCTGCCTCAGCCTCCCGAGTAAGCTGGGACATTAGGATTGCCGCCACCATGCCCGGCTAATTTTTTCTATATATATTTTTAGTTGCCCAATTAATTTGTTTCTGTTTTCAGTAGAGTTGGGGTCTTGCTCAGGCTGGTTTTGAACTCCTGACCTCAAATGATCCGCCTGCCTCGGCCTTCCAAAGTGCTAGGATTACAGGCATGAGCCACGGCGTCTGGCCCTGGCCTAAATTCTTGCAGAGCATGCTCTTAGGGAATTTTATTTCGGAGATTAAAAGTTAATTTTCAACTTCTTAATAAGTAACCTAGAACAAATAACTGATTCTAAGTGCCAGACATTATTCTAAATGCTTCATATAGATTAACTTATTTAATCCTTCCAACAACCCAGTGAGGCAGGTACTATTATTATCACCATAGAATATATGAGGGAACTAAGTGGTTAAGTGATTTCCCTAACTAAGGTCATACAGCTAGTAGGTAGAAGGGATTTGAACCTAAGTGGTCTAATGCATGTATACATTTTCAACCATTCTGCTCTGCTGACAAAGACATGCTTTTCACATTTGCAAGTTAGTTATATAGGATAGCTGACTTCACAAATGTCAAAATTAACATTCAGAGGTAATAGGCTAGAAAAATAGTAGGCAATTACTTTAAAATGAATATAAAAGCCTATAATTAGGTTAGAAATAATTACAGAAGAAATGAAGAGAAAACCTGATTAACTGATCATTTAAATAACAGGTTTTCTAGACTGCAACCTTAATTACGTGCCACAGTGGTTGAGGAAGAGCAGATGAAAAAAAAAATCTCACCTTAGATTGTTAATGAAAATGTACTACTTTTAAAGGATTTTCATTACAGTCCTCCTGTGTGGTTCACAGTTAAGGTATTATCCCCATTTACAAATAGAGAACAAACTTGTTTTCTCATTATCACCCACTTAAAATAAGTGTAAGAACCAAGACTAAGCTGGGCACAGTGGCTCACACCTGTAATACCAGCAACTCAGAAGGCCAAGGCAAGAGGATTGCTTGAGGCCAGGAATTTGAGGCTGCAGTGACCTGTGGCAATGACAGTGGCCTCTAGCCAGGATTACAGAGTGAGACCCAGTGTCTGGAACGGAAGAAAGGAACCAAGATTAAAATCCAAGCCTGACTTCTAAACCAATGCTATTTCTTCTGAGCGTACTCAATGAATAGGTTTAGCTCCAAAAAGCAGAAGAAACAAAGAGGGAATAAGAACATTCCACAGGGTTTTAAGATAATTTGCTGGTTCTATTACATTGAGGAAAAGAGACAAATGATTAAGCAAAAAAAGAAGATGTAAAAGTATTAAATGATAATCTGGAGATAGTATCGAGGTGGATAGTATAGAGAGGTGACAGTGGACACCCCTTAATGAACTGAAACATTAAGACCTTTACGAAATAAGAGTGGGCAGACTAGGCTACAGCTACTACCTTTCTCGTTTTGTTTGCCTAGTAACTGGGATGTAGAATGACGCAATGTACGAAACTCCCCTGCCCTACATGACTTTGTATCACCGGACTCAAGGTGGTGAGGGCTACAATAGGATTCAAGAAAGGCGAAAGAAAATGAGTACTGCCAACCTAGAATATCAAACCAAGAGACAGCCAATTAGGCTACCCTTCCTCCAAAACCATGTTTCACACCTCTACTTTCTCTTGAGCCCCTCGCCCTCATCCCACACAGTCCCATCCTATTGATCTACCAGATCTCTACTTCCTGTCCGAAACTACCTTGACTGTCTCCAGACTGGCCCCTTCCAGCACCACAATGAGCCTACGGCCACCGATCTTGCTTCCTGCCCCGAGTCGGGGCCTCTTGGGCGCCGCAGCATCCCAGTCCTGTTCCTGCTCCCCACCGCTCCGCTCACGAGGTTGGAATCCACCTCTGGGCGCGGCCATCTTGCAACCGGGCCGGAAATTGCGCTAATGCCTTTAACTTAGAACCTCGCGCTGTCCTAATGGCAAACTTCCTTCCGGCTGCCATTTTGAAAGTGGGCGCTTGGAAATAGCGATGGCTTGTTGTTGCGCTACCTTCCCTGGGAGGGCAGGGCTCCAGAAAGGGACGGGACTTCCGGATGCGCGATTCCTGTGCGCGAAGTTCAGGTCGGCGGTGGAAAAGGGGGAGGACTTTGAAGGGAGCGCACTTCCGGTGCCCTTTCTCCAGCCAGCATTACTGGCCCGAACCCGCGTGTGAAGGCTGCGATCCCAAAACTGGAGTAGGGTAGAGGCGGGCCAGCACCTTTTTCTGATCTCTGGTGCCGCCGGCCTCAGGATCAGACATGGCCCAGAACTTGAAGGACTTAGCGGGGCGGCTGCCCGCCGGGCCCCGGGGCATGGGCACGGCGCTGAAGCTGCTGCTGGGGGCTGGCGCCGTGGCGTACGGTGTCCGCGAATCCGTGTTCACCGGTGAGAAAACCTCCCCCCGTTCGTGGTACCCTTCCTGCCCCTCCCCAGACTCCCTGCCCTGTCTTTCCAGGTCCTCACACTGACCTAGCCCCTCGCCCCGCCCCACCAGAGCCTAGCGCTTTGTGCAGCAGCGTGGTCTGATTCCCACCCCTCTCCCCACAGTGGAAGGCGGGCAGAGAGCCATCTTCTTTAATCGGATCGGTGGCGTGCAGCAGGACACCATCCTGGCCGAGGGCCTTCACTTCAGGTAATGGCCGACTGACCCTGACCCTTCACCCTTGACGCCACCCCACCAAGGCTGTAGTCGGACTTCAAATAGGATTCAGAGCTACTCTTTCCCCCACCCCCAACCCGTGCTCCCAGGACAGTGGGTGCTGCCCTAGACTCCTGCAACACATAAGAAAATCTCTCTTTGTCCATGCTCAGTATGGGGAGAAACAGGCCAAAAAACAGTGTTGAGGCAAAGCAAGTGAAACTGCAGTTTCCTGATACCTATTCCTGTCCTCTCCCCCTCAGGATCCCCTGGTTCCAGTACCCTATTATCTATGACATTCGGGCCAGACCTCGAAAAATCTCCTCCCCCACGGGCTCCAAAGGTAGGTCTGGGCACTCAGTAGTCCCATGGCAGGTGGGATACCTAAAATTAACAAGGGAATTCGGCAGGAGACCCTAGGGAAAGGTGGTAGTGTCAGGTCTCTTAGGCCTTGGTTTCCACTCTGCAAGCAAGAACTATAACAAAGTACTTGCCTCCTGGGGTTAAAGCAGTACATTCTGGACACAGTATGTGTTTGTGTGTTTTTATTACCCTGCTATCCCTCTCTCCTAACGTATACTCAGTGAACATTATCTGTCCTTTGTATTATTCACTGCCTGGATCAAAGCCTTGTTTTAAAGCCTTTTTTTCTTCTAACTGCTTGACTTATAAAGTACATCTGCAGTTGTATCCACAAGTACACACTGTTCTGGAGGAGTTAGACCCCACTCTTGACAAGTTCGCCTGTTTCCTACTTCTAGACCATGAAGCCATGCCTTGAGATTCCCAGACCCCCTCCTCGTCCCCATCCCCATACACACTGAGGAAAGTAGCTCATTTGTAACCTGTAATGTACTTATTTGTGCTGTTTTTAGTGCAAGTCACTACGTATTCATTCACTAAACCATGGGCCCTGGGAATAAAAGATTCATAAAAATAAAACACAAGCCTTGTTCTCAAGTCCTTGTAGGAGATAGATGGTCACCGCACAGCACTATGGAGTCTTCAGTAGAAGTTGCACGGTGTACTGTGGGAAAAAGCAGTCAGCCCTCCTAGTGGAGGGGTTGTGGGTAAAGGAGGCTTCACAGTGGATGTGGATGTATTTCACCTGTGCTGTGTCACAGCTTCTTGTCAACCTATTTAATCTCTCCCCTCCACGGGAACCACATGAAGGAGAAAATGCTTGGGGAAGGGGTTTGGCCTTAACCAGCCAGTGCTGACCTTACTCTCAGACCTACAGATGGTGAACATCTCCCTGCGAGTGCTGTCTCGACCCAATGCCCAGGAGCTTCCTAGCATGTACCAGCGCCTAGGGCTAGACTACGAGGAACGAGTGTTACCATCCATCGTCAACGAGGTGCTCAAGAGTGTGGTGGCCAAGTTTAATGCCTCACAGCTGATCACCCAGCGGGCCCAGGTTTGACTCCCATCACCATTTGCATGATGTCAGCATTTCCCTCCTAGGCCCTCTGTTAGCAAAGGCAGCTTATTAGAAAAGGGTTGTCATTCTGGGTTTATTTTCACTTAAAAGCTATACTAATTACCACTGTGAGAAATAAGAGAGCCAACATTAGAACTCCATAGCCGCCAGTGTTAGGAAGCATAGGAGAAAATACAAAGTCTTGACTTTTCCTGCTCCTCTTTCAGCAAAGAAGCTGATGTTAAAGGTTTGCCTGACAGGAAGCTAAGGAGATGCACATTGTATTAGAGGGAGTGGAGAATTAGGAAGTCAGTGTGACCTCAGGCGATCACATCACCTCTCTAAGGCTGTCTCATCAATCAGATGAAAAGATTGAACCAAGTCTTTCCAACTCAGATGTTATAGTGAGGAGCTAAGAAGGGGATAGAGAATTTTCTGCCATTCTCAAGGGATCTGGTATTCAGATGGTCATGGCAACATATCCTTTCAGTTCTCCAGTCCCCTCAAGCCACCTCTCCTCACCCCTGCCCCCAGGTATCCCTATTGATCCGACGGGAGCTGACAGAGAGGGCCAAGGACTTCAGCCTCATCCTGGATGATGTAGCCATCACAGAGCTGAGCTTTAGCCGAGAGTACACAGCTGCTGTAGAAGCCAAACAAGTGGGTGAGTCACAAAATGAGTAGGGCAAGGGCTTCTGCCATGCAGGAGGAAGAAGACACCTTACATCTGAGACCCCCTGCCTCTCTCTCACCACAGCCCAGCAGGAGGCCCAGCGGGCCCAGTTCTTGGTGGAAAAAGCAAAGCAGGAACAGCGGCAGAAGATTGTGCAGGCTGAGGGTGAGGCTGAGGCCGCCAAGATGATATCCTTCTGCTAGAGCGATCTCGGCCCAGCCCCTAGAGCTTCCTGCTTTCCCATCCTCCCTCGTGGGCCGGCTGATGAGACTAAGGCGAATGCGACTCCGTGCTGTCTGGCCCTTGGCTCCTTGTTGCAGGGGTGGATATAGACGGGATCTGAAGTCTTAGTGGGGGTACCCGAGGCTGGCTCCCCACTGTAAGGCCAGATCAACAGCACTACTGGCCTTGCCTCTATTTGTGCTGCTGCCCGGAGTTCCTGACAGCAGCCTGCAGGAAGGCCCACAGGTGGGGCCCAGGGTAGGGCTGGGCACGAGCTATCTGAGCGCAACCTTGGATCTGACAGCCCAGAGGAGGGCTAGAGCAAGGGAGTGCTGAGAATGGAGCCAGGATGAGACCTGCCCTTGTGTGAACCCTTAACCCTCCCCTGCTCACCTTGGAGAAGCACTGAGCAAGAACCCTGGCTACATCAAACTGCGAAAGATCCGGGCAGCCCAGAACATCTCCAAGACGGTTAGTGTGAGAGCCCAGCATCTGTCCCAGGGCTGCCTTGAGACCAAAAGTGTTTTCATTTAACACACATGGAAGTGAGGGAATTAGAGTCTTGTTCTGGTTTCTACTCACACTGTCCTCTCTGACACTCTTCCCCTTTTGGAGAACAGTTCCTCTGGGCTCCCCCGACCTTTTGTTCATGGCTTTGTTATGGTACTAAGACACCACTGCTCTGGATCTGTGAGTGAGAGCAGAAACCATGTCTTATTCATCACAGTATCCCTGGTCCTAATCTACGTGCGTTTCATGAAGTGGCTGTTGAATTCCGAGAGTAGGGATCCAGGTCTTTGCTTACTGCAGGCATCTGTCTTGTTTCCTGCCCCATAGATTGCCACATCACAGAACCGAATCTATCTCACTGCTGACAACCTTGTGCTGAACCTGCAGGATGAAAGTTTCACCCGGTGAGAGATGTGACTGCACAGTGGGATGTCACAAAGAACATGGGGCTTACATGTGGTCACTTAGGCTCTGGAGTCTGTAACGTCTACTCGTGTGACCCTTGAAAGACTATTTTTCTGAACCAAAGTTAGAAAAGGAGGTACTTGACAATTCCTATCTTGCGTCTCATTGGATCGATTTTAAGAGATCAAATAGGATTATTCATGTAAAAAGTAGTTTAATTGTAAAGTTTTTGTCTAACTAAAAAATGATGAAAGATGATAATCAGTTTTCTTAAGAGCCTTCAAACTGCCATTCTGGTGCATTGAAAGGTGTTAGGAAAGGAGAAAATGAGAAATAGAGGGGCCATGAGACGAGTCCTCCTTTTAGGAGTTCCTGAAGTTCCTGGCTGCCAGCCCTGTTTGTCTTTTTCTCTTGGGAGCAAAGGAGGGGGCAGAGCTGGGTGGGGCCTGAAGCTGTCAATTCACATGTGCATTTCTTTTCTATTTCCTGTTCATCTGGCCATCTGGGACCACAGAGGAAGGTAAGTTGTCACTACATCTTTGTTTCTATGGGGTCCTGCAGGCCACCTCTCTGGGTAACCCACCTCACCTTTCTCACCTCCCCACAATCGGGAGGAGGGGAAGGCCTGGAGTGCTCTCACAGTTTATGACCCCTAACAATATCATCTGTCCCTTTTTTCCACAGTGACAGCCTCATCAAGGGTAAGAAATGAGCCTGGGAACCAGGAACTCCACCCCCAGAGAGCAAGTGGATCTTCTCCAGTTTTTGAGGAGCCAGCCTAAGGATCCAGCATACTCCCACCCACCCCCAGTATCATGTGATGGTCCCCTGCACCCGCACAGGCCTCACTCCCCCTCTTGGATTAAGGAAGACTGAAGACCAGCCCTTTTTCTGGGGAATGACTTTCCCCCTTCGTGTTGGCCAGCGGTCTTGGGACAGTGTGTTATTTCTCAGTGATTTCCTAGCGTTGTTCCCTCCCTCAAGGTTGGGAGGAGATAACCACCAACCCAGGAATTCTCAATAAATTTTTATTACTGAAGTCAAGGCTTCAGGTGCGTGTGGCTGGTTCGCAGAGGCACGCATGCGCATGCATGGTCACATGCGCGCTCCCCCGGGTCTGTCTTTGTATCTGCCAGCAGGGGGCGCAGGGAACCTGGGCAGGCGGCTAAGGGAGAGCAGGCCTGGGTTCTAAATGTGTCCTAAGCCCTAACCTCCAGTCCCAAGGCCTAGCTGTGCTATTCACCCCACCCTCCGTCTCTACCACATCACCCACTGATTTGCCAACATCTTTTTTAAGGCTAGAGCAGCTGTGGCTTTGCTGAGCCAGAAGAAAAATCTGATGACCCCAACAGGAGCTGCTTCCTTGGTGACAGGGCTACGTGTAGCTCTAGAGGAGACCATGTGTGCCTGTTGAGGGCCTTCTGTGAACAGAAGCCCAGTGGGTTTTATTGCCCAAACTTTCCATTTCTTAGTCACCAGGTGGGAGGACAGGGCTTTTCACTCCCACGGCTCTGGGGCCCCTGACAGAACAGGTGCCTGTTTTCCGTCCACAGATAAGCATCTCATGTCCTTCCTAAGACAGCTCTCTGGAATCTCAAGCACCAGAAAAATGAAGCCACTGTTTATACCCAAGTCCCACCACAGCCCATTTCTGTCCCTCTGGGGAAACAAGATTTGGAACCATAAGAGAAAACACTGGGGGCAAAGTGTGTGCAGGAACTAAGAAACACATGGTAGGGGGGCAGATGACTCTTAATGGGCTCAGGTTAATCTTCAGCTTCTTCAATTTTTGAAGAAGGAAGACTGATTTTTTCCTGCCCTGCAGATGTCAGGACAGGAAAGTGAGAAGAAGAAGCAGGTGTGGCAGCCCCAATCCTGAGTTGCTGGGAGCCTAAGATGAGATCGACAGACAAAAGATAGGTCCAGTGACCTGGATCAGTCCTCCACACATTCCTCTTCACACTTTATTTCTTGCACGTCCCCAAGTGGGGAGACAATGGAGGTCCCGGGGGAACCAAGCATGTTTCCAAATCTTGCTGCGACTCTGGAGGCAGCCATTTTGTCTCCTTCCCATTGTTCCCCTCTTCCTAGTGATTCTCCCCCATCCAAAGGGGTGAAGGTCAGAGGTTGCTGGTCAGGAGGCCTCCATGGTCTTCAGGGCTCACTGAAGGTCACTGCTGAGGGAACCAACCCGGGGGCCATCTTTACCAGACAGTGTTAGGAGCTTCACAATTAGACCATCCAACACTGTACTGGAAGATGGACCCAGAGCCGGCCAACAAGGAACTCCGAGCCAGAGCTGACCAGTTGCTACAGGGACCCTGGCCACAGGCCAGATGTCTCTTGAGGGTACAAGCATATCCCAAGCTCAAGGTCAGCTGTAGGTTCTGGACCGCCAGATGACAAATCATACGGGTGGGAGGAGAGGCTGGGGCCATTGTGTCTCTTCAGTGGCATCCGGCCAGTGAGAGCCACCTCCCGTGCAGGCCTAGGCTCCCAGGCTGTATGGGGAGGTAGGTAGGGGGGTGCAGCCAGCTAAGGGCCAGGGCCCTGAGGCGATGGATGTCGCTGACACAGGACAGGGGCCTCCATCATTACCCGGCAGTATTAGAGACTCCCGACCAGCACCCAAACACTGCTGGGTAAGACGAGGGCCCCCACCCAGCCTGCCCACCTCAGGTCAGGGGGGCCAGGCCCAGGCTCCCTGCGTAGAAGCTGGCTCCCATCCCCCCACCACCCGCGCCCCTGGGGACACTTCCGGGTGAGCCCAGCAGGCCTGCCACCAGCCCCACTCTGAGTGCTGATGGATTGCTGAGGCCTAGGCAGGAGTTCAGCAGCCCCTCACTATCACTCGTCTGCTGTCAGCCTCTGAGGCCCTTCTCCCGACACCCCCATAGCCTGTCCCCCTAACACACCAACTCACCAGCCCACATCCCCCTCTGCAGTCCCAGCTCAGCCCCAGAAACCCACACCTGGTGGCCTTTACCTGTCACCGGGCCCACCTGCCCTCCAGAGACTGAGTGCCGAGGAGAGGAAGGGGCATCAAGGACCCAGAGTCAAGGGCCTGGAGCCTGCCCTGACTTCGCTCTTCCTCCTTCCTTCTCCGCCTGCCAGCAGCGCAGGCTCCTTACCTGGGCCCCGCCTGCCGCCCTGCGCACAGGTGTGTCCTCCTGCCATAGGCTGCCCCCCCCACCGCCTTAACCCCTTCCCTCCCAGCACCAGCCCCGGGCACCTCCTCAGAGGCCTGGCCACCCCACTAGGCCTCCCACCCTCTCCCAGGGCCTCTTCTCCTACCTGCCTGATTTCTCCCGTCTCCAGTGGAGCAAAGGGAGGGACTATCCTTGGGTCTCCCTCACCCCCCAGGAGGCTGCTGCCCCAGGCCTCACCTTCTCGGAGGCCTCAGACTCTGCCCACAGCCAGCCAGAGCTAGAGGGGCAGAGATCCCTAAGGTCAGTGAGGGGTCAGCTTGGCAGGGCTTGGGCTGTGCCGGTGCCCAGCCTGTGCTGAGCTCCCATAAGGGAAAGGGGAGGGAGGAGGCCCTACCAGGCCTGTGAAGGGCAGGTCCCAGCGGGGTGCCCGTAGTGTCCCACCAAGAGACCCCAGCTGGCCCCCCCATCCTTCCGAGGCAGTGCGCAATGGCTCTCCTTCCACCCTCGGACAGGCAGCAGCCGCGCTCAGGGAGCTGCTCCCGCCTCTCAGCACAGCCCTCCAGTGGAGTGCAAGTCCCAACCCAAGGGCAGTTAGCCCAGAGCAGTTAGAGGGGTGGGACCCTCCGCCGTCCTTTTGTGCTGCTCTGGCAGGTGTAGAAAGGGCGTTGCTGAAGGGGACCCAAGGCCAGGCCTGCAGGTGAGGGCCCCACCCACCCACCCCCTGGAGGGCCACAGCTCCTGGGAGCTATTGTGTTGCTCAATCCCAGAGCTGCTCTCTCCCTCCTCTTTTGTTTGCGTCCTTCTTAATACCCATCGGTGACTATTTCATGTTTGTGGATCTGTCTCCCTGACCAGTCTCCTAAGTGCCATGAGGACGGGGACTGCACAATGTCATTGAGGCTGCGGTTTGCTGAATAACGCGAGTCAAGCCTTTGTGCTCCGGGACCCAGCCCCGCTCCTTAGAAGGAACCCCACCCTGAACACAGGGGAGGGTAGAGGGGCCTAAAGAATAAAACAATCTTCAGGTCAGCCAGCCATTCAGGAGGGTGAGGTTGGCAGCACCCTGGCTGGGGAGTAGCACTTGTGTGTCCCCCTCCACCAGGTGGGGGGTGCTAGGAGCCTGGCCTCAGGTCTGTGCTTCCTGGCCCTTCCTTATTCCTCTGGAAGTGGGCATCAGGGCAGTGTGCCTGGGCCTCCCTCAGGTGGCCCCAGCTGCATCTCCAGGGTAAGGAGAGTGGGGGCTGGGGCCCGGTGGCCCAGGTTAAAATCCCAGCTTCTTGGCTCAATAGTCCTGTGACCTTAAGCAAGTTACTTAATTTCTCTGTGCCTCCACTGAAAAGTGAGAATAACAAAGGTACCTGGGTTGAATTAACATGTGGAGTCTCTTGAACAGTGCCTGGGCACATGGCAAGCATGTCATGAATTACTGTTGCCGTTGTTAGCATTGTCCACTAGCTTCATGATCTTAACAACCACCCAGCTATGATCACCCTCCATTTGAAAGAAAAGAGACAGAGGAAGCTTGCCCCGACGCAGGCCTGTGTGTGAAGCAGAGTCCAGAACCAAGTGTCTTACGTGAAGACCGAGCTTTCACTGGGCCACTCATACTGCTACCCACCTGCTCCCCCAGCCCACCCGAAAGACACTCAGAGTCAGAGTTAGAAGCAACACACAGTCATCCCAGGGGCTTTATTTACAAGAGTAGAAGGGCCTTGCTGGGCTATTTACAGGGTGGGGGCATGGCCATTTAAATTACAGTAGAATGGGGGCTCCTGGGTTCAGGCTGCAGTGGGTCCCCTGGAAGCTTCTGCAGGATCAGGGCTGAGACTGCGGAGAGAAGGGAGTGAGGGAGTGAGAGGGTGGCTGGAACCGGGAGAGGGGAGAAGGAGCAGGTCTGGGAGCAGCTGGGAAGGACAGGGTGAGGCTGCAGCCACCCATCCATCCAGGGGAAAGCACCGGAGCCAGGGCTCACGAGGGCAGGCCCGGGGGAGACCCCGCAGAAGGGGTTGTACCATGGCCACTCAGGACAGCGCCCAGCTCACTTCCTCTTGAGGGAACCCTTGCCCTTCTCCTTGTCCGCTGACCGCTGCTTCTTCACCTTCTCCTCCTTCTTGCCCTTACTCTGCAGGTTCTCGTACACATCCTCCTTGTGTCTGTGGGTGGGCGAGTGCAGGCAGTCGGTGCGGGTCAGCAGACAGTGCAGGGTGACCCGGCACCAGCAAGCCCCCTGGGCCACCCATCTCACCTGGTCACTGTCCCTACACTAGACACAAAGCTCCTTGAGGGCAGAGGCTCCGTCCCATACACTAGTACACTGCTGGCACCTGGCACGGACCCACGAGTAGTAGGCACTTGGGAATTACTTATGAGCAGAGGTAGTGAGAACCAAGCTTGAACTTGAACCCAGGTCTCCCAGCGGCAACACGTCCTCTCCAGAAAGGGAGGATCAGGTCAGGCAGGGCAGGGGCAGATACCGGAAGGTGGCAGGCGGGGGCCACTCACCTGGAGGAGGTGCGGGAGGCCTTGGCATGGGCATTCTTCATGGCTAGGGGGTAGGTGATGTTCCCGTACTCTGACTCCTGGCCCTTCTGTGACTGTGGGCAGAGATGTGGTGGGAGGACAGTGGTCCCAGCAGGCCCAGGTGACACCCACTCCCGCTGCAGCCCACCAGGCCCTGCTCTTCACGTACCTGCATGACCTCCAGCTTCTTCTTGGTGGTTTCAATGAACTGGGCAATGGCCACGTAGATGAACTTGTACTGCGCCTCCGTCTGCACCATGCCCGAGCGCTGCGCCCTCACCATCTGGATGGTCTTCTGGATGTCGATGTCACAGTCCAGCCCTGGGCAAGGGTGGCAGTCGGACCTCAGGCCCAGGCAGGGACGGACACCGGGGGACTGCTCACCTGCCCACCCCCGAGGACCCCCAGGTAACACTCACCTTTGGTGGATATGTTCTCCATGAGCATGTCGATGACAATGATAGTGCCTGTGCGGCCAATGCCCGCACTGGGGAGAGAAAGGAGCGCGGTCAGAGGCTCAGTCAACTCCTCATAGGGAAGACTCCAGCCCTGAGGAGCCTGAGCCGCCAGCCACATGAGGGAGCGCCTAGAGTCACTGGGTGAGCCAGCGCAGGAGTCCCCCAGCTCTGCACCAGTGCTTCCCACGTCAGCCCTCAGCGTTAGCCTTCAGCCGAGGGATCTTCGGGGAAAGGCCTGGCTCTGAAGTGCTGGCCTGGGCCCTACGGCCACCTCCATCGTTTCCCTTCCTCCCAGCCCCGAGCTACCCTCCTCCGCTTCCTGACTCGTCCGGAAGGCTGAGTGCCGGGTGGCTGCCCCCTATCCCAGAAGATCTAGGACCCCCAAATCCCACAGCTGTCCTGCCGGCTCCACAGGCCTCCCCGTCCCTCCCTGCAAGAGTGGCATTTGGAGCTTCTTTCTGTGGGGCCTCATTTCCCTTTTTCTCCAAAGCCTGGCCAGGAAAGGGCAGCGCTGAGGCAACGGGAAGCAGGGGCTTGGAGGAGCAGCGCAGTGGGAAGTCTCTCTTCTTCTCTACCCTCTGCCACCACCCTGTGCCAGACAGACCCCTGGGCCCATCAGGCTGATGCCCTGAGTCGCGCTAATTTCAAACCCAAATTGTCAAAAATAACCTCCCATCACCCACTTCCTTCCTGTAACTTCTAAATAAAGGCCATGGGGCTTTCAAGAAGTGTGTGGATGTGTGTGTGGTGGGGGCAGGGGGCCGCAAGAGGGTAGTTCTTGGGGATGGGCCACCCCTGAGAGGGCAGAGGGCAGAGCAGGGTCCCCAAGACAGAATGTGGGGGCACCTCCAGATTCAGCCCACCAGCCTCGCCCCAGGACAAAAAGTTGCTGGTGGGAAAAAGGAGGAAGTCTGAGGCCCACACAGGCCGGGTCACATGGAAGAGTGGGAGGGAAGAGGGCAAGGCTGCGGGAGTTGCCAAACCAGCAATAGCTCCCATCTGTGGAGGGCTCAGAGGATTCCAGACACAGTGACAGGGTCTCATTTAACCCTCACAACCACCCTATGAGATCCTGACATCACAGATGAGGAATCTGAGGGTCACAGAAGTTAGGTAACTTTTTTCTTTTTTTTGTTAAGAGACAGGGTCTTGGTCTGTCGCCCAGGCTGGAGCACAGTGGCATCATCATAGCTCCCTGCAGCCTCAAACTCCTGGGCACAAGCAATCCTCTTGCCTCAGCCTCCGAACTAGCTGGGACTATAGGCATGAACCACCACACCCGGCTAAATTTTTTTGTCTTTTTACAGATGAGGTCTTGAGATAATGCCCAAGCAGTTCTCAAACACCTGGCCTCAAGTGATCCACCTGCCTCGGCCTCCCAAAGTGCTGAGATTACAGGGGTGAGCCACCACACCTAGGCTAGAAGTTAGGTTAACTGTCCAAGGTCACAGAGCTGGTAAGTGGAGGCACTGGAATTTAAACAGATGCCTCATCTGGGAGCCTGCACCTGCTGCCTCCAGTCCCGGCCAGGCCGGCTGGGGTGCTCATCTGTGGGACCCCGGCTCTTCCTCGCTGCTGCCCCACCCTCCACTTCACAGGAACAGGGTCTCCTGGTCACGAACATGAGAGTCTCCAGAGGAGCTGCCGGTGCATGTGCCCCTCCCAAAGACAGTGCTGTCCCGAAACAACCCTGGGGACCAAGCTGCCGGGCATAGCTGGGGAAGGGGGTTGAAGGGAGGAGCAAGGAAGAAGACTAAGTCCCCCAGGATACAGGTGGGGAAAGAGGAGGGCTGGGGAGCCACACAGAGTGCAGGTGAAGATCCCAGGGGCAGCCAGGACCAGGTCTCTGGGGAATGCCAGTCGAGCCTCTCCCCAGACTCGCTGGTGACCTGGCCAGTGACCGGTGTCTGTTTCCTCGCCTGTGTTTACAGGGTTGGACTAGATTCAGGGGAGCCGCAGAGGAAGGCACTCTAGGCAGCGGGCCAACAGGAGGGCTGCTTCCAGTCAAGCTCCACCCAGGGGTCTGGAGCCACGAGGGGGCCCAGAAGAGTCTGGGGCAGGCGGGGGCGGCGTTAGCAGAGTTGATGCGTAAGCTGCTTACAGCAGCGCAGGCACTGGCTGTAGTTACCTCTCAGCTGTTACTTTTACTGTTGCTGCCAATGTCATGATTATTCTCACCTGCAATGCACGATGATGGGCCCTGCATGAGGCAGACTTTCCTGCCGCTGGTTGATCTGGTCCAGGAAGCTGAGGACACCCCCAGGATCGCCAGGGACCCCGTGGTCAGGCCAGCTCAGATACTGGTAGTGCCAGATCTCCCGAACCAGGTCCCCCTGGACCAAGGACACAAGGTCAGTGCCCCCTGCTCCCACACAACACCCATCTTGCCTCGTCCCACCCAACCAGACAAGAGCACAGGTCCAAGGAGGGGATGCAGGAGTAGGGCAGGGAGTGGGGACACTCACGTTGTCCAGCGGGGAGACCTGCAAGGTGCGGAGTTTGTACTCAGACGTGTCGTGCTCCCCACAGTTGGTCACAGAGTAGGGCCCGTAAACACGCTGAGTGCCCACCTCTGGCCAGTACGGGACACATTTGTTCTGCAAAGGAGAGTTGAGGTGGAGAATGAGGCACAGATGCAGGTCTGGGGTCGCTGGTGCCGGCCCGCACGCTTGCAGGATGAATGGATGCACTGGCTGACAGCCGGGAGACCTGGGATCTGGTCTCGGACCAGCCACCAACATGTGACGAGACCAGTCACTTAACCTTAAAATTCATTCCATAAACAATGCTGGCACACACTGAACTTGCAGCGGTGCAAACCAGACTGTGGTCACAAACACAAACCAGACCCAGACCCAGTCTAGGCCTCTGCACCTCTAGGAGGTCCACAGGGACAGGTGAGCAGGAGCGTGGTTGAGGGAGAGGTTAATGCTCCCTCTAGGTTACAGAGGAAATCAGAGATGGCCTCACAGAGGGGGGAGCATTTGAGCTGGGTCTTCAACAGTGAGGAGGCTGCCAGACAGAGATAGTGTGGGGAGAGAAAGTCATTTCCTAGCAGAAAACGAGCTTGTGCAAAGAGACTCGTGGGAACCTGAGAGGGCCTGGCCCACCGGAGGCAGTGAGTGTCACAGGGAAGACGGAGATCGGAGGGAAGACACCAAGCCTTGAATGCCAGGTCTTATGGTGTGATTTTATCCCAAAGGCAACTGGAAGCCATTGCAGGGTTTCCCGGGAGGGAACAATGTGACACCGTTTGCGCTTCAGACGGGATCACTGTGGAGACAGTGCAGACGGTGCCATAGCCGGGGAGCTTCCTGGGGGAGGGGCAGACTCCAGAGACATTTATGAGCAGAGAGGACAGGAGGGGGCCGGAGGAGGGGCAGGTGGGGAAGGGGCAGGGGAAATATTTGCTTTGGGACAGACACATTAAGGAAAAAACAGTTTAAAACCTGGGTCTAGAGCTCAGGAGAGCCCAGGTGGGAAGCAGAGATCTGGGAGTCACTGCATGTAGAGACTGTAGACCTCAGTTTCCCCTATTCCCAACAAAGGCAGGGTCCTTGCCCTCTGAGACTCCTTTCTGCCCTGGCATCTGCAGTTTCTTGGGCTTAACAGTGGTTACCAGCAAGTACCGAGGAGGGTGGGGGATCAGGAAGTGGCGGCGCAGGGCTGTGTCCTACCCGGCCTTTCTCCACCTCTCGGGTGGTCATGACAATGACACGGGTGTTCTCCTGCCACACCATCTGCCAGAAGTCGTTGACTGTGGCCTCCAGACAGCCCTGGCTGGCGATGTAGGTCTTAGCGTTCTCATCGGGGCCTAGCAGCTGGTTCTGGATGCAAACACAAATGCACCCAGGATGGTGAGAGCATTGGCCTGGGATGGGGCCTGCACCACCGCCACCCCCCCAAGACACCCTCTTTGGCTTTGTCTAGGGGTCTCTGGATCTAGGGTCCCCCATGAGACAGGGAATTCCCAGGGCCCAGCATCGCCCCCCACGGGTCCCATGGCACCAACCTTGACATAGTTGGCATTGATGTAGTCGGACCCAGGGATGTTACTGTCACGTCCCTGCAGGATCACTCGGCTGTGGTCAACTGGAAGTGGGCAGAGAGGACGCAAGATGGCCTGGGTCAGCCAGGCCCTCCCCACCTCTGGGGTGGACCCTTCCCGAGTGGACAGGCCATTCTCACGAGGCTCGCAGAGGACTGTGGGTGGCAGGGAGGGATCTGTGCGGAGTGGGAGGCAGGGGTTTCACAAGGAGGCTGGAGGGGCAGGGGCACCCAGCCTGTCAGTGGTCGGGAGGCTCCACCGGGAGGGGAGAGGCTTTTGGAGGAGAGTGGGGAGGCAGGCTGGGGCAGGGACGGTCTCCTGGGTGAATGGAAGCTGCCTGGGGAGGGGAGGAATGGGGGTTGCCTGGGTGCTCACAGGGGAGAATGTTCTTGTAACGGTTCTTGCCCTTGTTCTCTGGCCGCTGCCCCTCCAGCCGCTGGTGCAAGTTCTTCACCTCCTGCTTCTGCAGACTCTGGGACGGGAGAGGGGAAATGAGCACGGCCCCTGGAGAGGGCGTCCGTGGGGCGAGCTCGTGTGGGGCAGGTGGGCAAAGAGGGAAAGGGCGGGCCGGGGCTCCGCGCGGCTGCCACTGCCTCAGCTGTCCCAGCCTAGCGGTTCCCGCTGTGCACCTCAAACTCCTCCCAGAAGCCAGCCTTGGCTGTGTCCTCGGACTCCTTCTTCTTGTTCAGTTCCAAGACCCGGCTCTCAATGT